GATGAGGGGGATCGACACATGCCGTCGGCAGCCCTTTAACTTTGATCCTCGACAAACCACCATTTTAGGTCTGCGTCGAGACCATCGAGGAGGGACACATGACCAAGGATCTGGCCATCTGCACAAGGGACGGCCGTGCCGACCTCGTCAAGCGCACCGACTACCTGAACACGTTCGAGTTCTTGGACAAGCTGGCCGAGAACCTCTCCAAGAAGCAGAACCATTAAGCCACCTCGCCCCAATTTTAATTCGCTTAGAGACTACGTGCTATCTGTTCGTTTGATTGTGATTTGCGCACGACGTGCCTCCACCACATCCCCTTTTGTGATTCCCCCCAGACATCTCACCCTTGCTGTCTGTTGTCATCGTGGCCTATGAGCTGATTCTGGTTGATTATGGTAGTAATAAATATCTCTTTGGATCTTGTCCCCAAAACCTCACATGCATTTATAATGTCGCTTCAGATCAACAAGTGAACGGATCTCCAATTGCCTTCAGCCCTACTTATCCCCCGGCTTTTTCCTGATTAAGCCAATCGACTGCACCAACAACCCGGTCGAGAAACTCGTATCATGGTCAATGCGTGGTCAAGAACAGCCTTCCTACGGCCTACAGCCCAAACCAAGAGATTCCCGCTTTTGCCCCACCCGTTTCACCCTCGGCAGAAGAAGAGACTGGTCTCCTTTACTCGATGGTAGGGGTAAAGTAACCAGCTTCAGCCCCCCTCCCCCATCAAAACACGATGGTTTTCTACGGCACTTTTATGGCTGCCGTCTTCCATGTCTGCGGCTAGACCGAGACTTTGATATAGCCATATTATTACCCCTCTTAGAAATTAGCTTATTAACGAAAATAAAAGAGCCAAAATGATAAGTTATGTGCGAATTTTGCACGGAGAATTTTAATGCAAAAATCATTTTAAAACCTGTATAAACTTTTGCCAATTGATAAATTCTCAATTTTACTAAAAGCAGAGTAAGAAGGAGCGTTTGAATTTGATGCCTGAACAGATTTTTATAAGGGAACGTTCGGCTCCAGTTTTTCAATAAATTATCCAACTCATCGACCCTCCTCAAGTAAAGCTTGTCCTTTCCCTGGTTTCCGGTCCGAAACCGGCGCGCTCATTGAAAGACGGAACCACCCCGTGTTTACTCTGTACGTGTGGTTTTGGTCCCTTGAGCCGTTGTCGGGGTGTGCTGGTGAAAGTTGAAAGTGAATTGAGCCGAAAATGGCAACAGCCGCGGATCTGCTAAGGGCGGATCCGGTCGAAGCATTCACAAAACAATTACCAGCGCGAGTAGAGCCGGGAGTGTTGGCCCGAGCCGTTTCGCATCGTTGGCCGTTGGCTTTTGCGCGAATTGGTGCTCACCAGGCTTGCCTGATCTATTCTATATTTTCATATTACTTTTTTTGGCTTAAAAAAGTGGATTCAGACTTAATAGTACGTATGATACTTTACTTTTTTCGGGGGGGGGGGAACGATTTTTCCTATAAATGTAACAAGAGGTGCTTTTTTGGTAAACCAAATTAAACTTCCGCTATCCTTCAGGTTCAAAACTTATTAGAAAACTCAGAAAAATGTCCAAAAAAAAATTAATTTTTGGTGAAAAATCGGCCATTGACGTTTTTTAATCAAGTTTTGGTATGTTTTTACGTTTAGGCGCAGAAGCGTTGCCTGTATTTATATCAGAAAAATCGATATTTTAAAATCTAACACTTAATTAAAAATTTTTTGGCTAGGTTGTAGTCTTTCAGGCAACGATGGACTTTGTCAGTGAGCTCAACCACTTTACGATGTATCGGGAGAAGAACGAGAGCTTCAACTCTGGATATCTCTACAAGTAGGTCGTATAATACGTCTAGATATATGCTTTTTCTTTCTTTTACATTAAAATTTGCTTTAGATACGCCCTACCATTCGAAGGGGTTCCCCAGCACGTGGAGCTGACACTATGGTTCCAAGACCACTGGTACCACTCGATCACAATTTCTGTTGTCTACTATATCGTCGTAAGGGTATGTATGCTTTTTTGGGTTCTATGAATCATCCAGATAACACAACGGTGGATGGAGAAACGAGCCCCGTACCGGCTCGACAGCGCGTTGTTCTTTTGGAATTGCTCTCACGCGCTGTACAGCATCGTGGCTTTTCTGAGGATGAGCGAGGTGGGGTAGGCTGAATAATACTCGATAATCTATTAGAGTGGACAAATAATGATCGAATTTATTTAAGGACTTTGCTCACTCGGCTTCGCAATCATTCTACGATCTCGTTTGTCGCAGCGTCGTCCCATACGATGTGGCCGCGTTCTGGTCGGTCACGTTTGGGATGAGCAAGGTTGGTCGCTGGTCGATTTTTCGTTTTATATAATTTTTACCCTTAGCGAAAAAGCGAAAAAGATTAGTAAGAACGTTGAAACTTTAAAAATTGTCCAAATTTACCAAATTTTGACTTTTATGGTAGTTTTTCATACAGTTTTGACATCAAGTCGAAACTTTCGAGTTTTTTGTGCTTTTTGTTTTTAAAAAACGGC